GAGCCTAGCGTAGTCCGTGCAGACAGCTGGCATTCCATATGGTAACAGGTAGTCACAGAGCAGAGGCTCCGTGGGGCCTCTGCCCCCAGGAGCCCTCTGCCCCCCATAAAGCCCTCTGCCCCCATAAAGCCCTCTGCCCCCAGGAGCCCTCTGCCCCCAGGAGCCCTCTGCCCCCAGGAGCCCTCTGCCCCCCATAAAGCCCTCTGCCCCCCATAAAGCCCTCTGCCCCCAGGAGCCCTCTGCCCCCATAAAGCCCTCTGCCCCCAGAAGCCCTCTGCCCCCAGGAGCCCTCTGCCCCCCATAAAGCCCTCTGCCCCACGGAGCCCTCTGCCCCGGAACCCAGGAGAACCCCGGGTCGTCCTGCCAGGGTGCTTGGAGGAGGCAGGGATTTTCCTGCCCGGGACGGAGGAACAAGGCGCCCTAATTAAACTCCAGTGGCTGGGGCGGCAGGAAGAGACCGTCGCAGGTAACAGTGACCAAGCTCAGGACCACCAGCCAGAGGCGGCTCTCTCCGGAGCTGCTGGAACCTGAGCCGGCTCCAGGCGCTATCTCCACGTTCATCTACAGAAACAGCTGGCGCCTCTGTTCTTGCTCAGGCAGGAACGTTCCGGCCACCAGCCCAAACCCTCCTTCCCCCGGCGGACTCTGCACCATGTCAGACCCGGCCCACTTCGCCTCCCCCGCCCTCTGATCGATAGCCAGTGCCAATCCTTCCCACAGCTCCATCCTCTCTTCCCCGCTCAGACGTGAGGCCCGAAGGCACCGGGGACCAGGCCGGCACCCCGAGCTCCCGCCAGCCCCGCCGCGGTGGTTCAGACTCCATGCCCGGCCCTGGCCCTTTCCTGGCCAGCCTCTGGCTCCATCAACACTTCCTCTCAGAAGAGCTTTGAGTGAGAGAGTCTAATCCCCAAACATGTTTGCCTTTCCACAGGCCTTCATTCACATGCAATGTTCTCGGTGAGAGCACCCGGTCCCCTGGAAAATGTCAGCTCAGCACGCCCGGCCCTCAGCACGGTTCCCGCCTCCCTCCCCGGCGTCATTCCTCCTTCGCATCCGTCAGTCACACCGCACCTGTAACTCGCATCCCCGCGCCAATGAGGCTCCAGCGAGCCAGGGGCGTCCGTCTGCTCTGCTCACGGCTGTGCATCCCGAGCTCTTAGAATAGGGCCCGGGACACAAGAGAAGCCGAGACTATTTTTCCAAATGAATGAACCGCCAGCTGTCCTTACGTAAGCACGTGCTCTGCACCAGAGACCTTTTTGTACAATCATTTTCATCTTCATAGGCACCCTGAAAGGAAGGCTAATTGTTTGTTTTCCAGATGGGGACACGGAGTCTCTGGGTGGAAAGATCCCTCACCCACGCTCCACGCCATTTCCACCCGGCGGGGCTGGGGCGAGAGGTCTGTCCGGCTCCAGAGCCTCAGCCAGGACCCGTGCACGACGAGCTGTGCTCAGGTGGAGGATCGAAGCAGGACCGGAGAGGGACAGAGGAAGACGCAACAGGAAACCTCTGGAAGTTCTATGGGACCAGGGCTGTCCAGGAGACCGTTCTGTGGTAACAGAAATTCTCTCTATGCTGACCAATTCGGAGGCCACTGGTCACCTGTGCTATTGAGCACTTGACATGTGGCGAATGCAACTAAGGAACTACACTTTTCATTTGACTCCATTTTAATTAATTTAATTTTTTTTTTTAATCCTCGCCCAAGAATATTTTTCCATTTTTAGGGAGAGTGGAAGAGAGAGGGAAAGACCGGGAGAAGCATCGATGTGAGAGAAACACATCCATTGGTTGCCTCCCGCATGTGCCCCAACCAGAGCCCGAGCGAGGAGGAGCCTGCAACCAAGGTACAAGCCCTTGTTTGCAAGGTACATGACCGGAACGGAACCCAGGACCCTCTGGTCCACAGGCCACCGCTGTCTCCGCGGAGCCAAACCGTCCAGGGCTGCATTCCTTTAAATTGATAGAGCCACACTGGGTAAGGGCTGAGTTGCAGCCTTTGAGCCGGGCTGGGGGAAAGCCCGATGTGTGACAGGGGGTTGGTGGCCTGCAGGCCTGGGGAGACAGGGGGAGCGAGGCGGGGTGCCTGTTTACCGCTGAGAGAACCCAGGCCACTTTGTGTAATCCTCCCAAACAGCCTGGGAGGGAGGGTTTGTTTACCAGCCCAGCCAGGATGAGGTAACACAGTCGGGGTCAATAGGCCTGCTGCTTGGAGCCCTGGTCCCCCGTCCCAGGAGCTTCCTCTGTCCACCGCCACCCTGACAGTTTGTCGTTGGGAAGCTGGTGCTGAGCAGGGCACTCGGGGAGCTGGGCTTCCTCGGTCCCGCTCAGGGATCTACACCTGGCCACGTTCAAGTTCAAGCGCCTTCCGTGTGGCGTCTGGGTGGCTGGCCGCATGCGCGCACGGCTCCTCCTTCCTCGGACTCCATACCTGTTTGCTGCCATGAATAACCAAACAAGGTTGGGGCCAAAGCGGGAAGAGATCCCTGGCGACTGGAAGCCCCCTGGGGGAGGGCCTCCGTTCAGTTCCTCAACCACGCCACCTGCCAGTCACCCTCCAACTGGCCAATCACAGGGATTTTTGCTGAAAAGGACAGTTCCCCAAAACACACTCCCTGGTATTTCTCTGGGGTAAATCTGGAGCCAAGAACCAGCATTTCTGTCAAGCCCTCAACCCCACCCATTACACACACACACACACACACACACACACACACTCACACCAATTCTGATGCAACGAGACCCAGAACTACCCTTTTGAGAAACACCGATGCGGCTAGGGTGAGGCGAGGGAGACGGGTAGACGTTTGGGGCAGGAAGAAATTACCATAAAGGGAAGTGCAGGAGTGGAGGCAGGACTTTGAGCAACAAAGGGGTAAGTTTAGGTGCCATGGCCCCGCAGAAGGCCGAAGGAGAACCCGGATCCCCTGTGTCCAGGCCTCCTTCCACACCCAGCAGCTCAGCCCAGCTCGTCCAGCCCCGAGAAGGCAAGTGGCCCCAGTGCCAAGCACATGCTGGCAGCTGCCAATCCCCAAGGGGAACAGGCTTCTCTGGCTGTCAGGAGCCCGCAGTCCGGGAAGCCAGTGGATTTCCCCTCCACACCCATCCCAGCCACGGCTGCACCTCGGCCCCTCACTTCTCCAAAGCGAGAGACACCTCAGTCATTTGCTCCAGACTTCCTGGACAAGGTCTTTATTTTTACTCTCAAGCGTGTGGGCCGAGCCTGCGTGGGTGTGGGAGGGGAGCTGGGTGTTTGCTACATCTCAGTATTTTCCTTCTGCACCGGGAGGGCTTTCACTTCCTCCCCGAGCTCTCTCGGTTCTGCCTCGAAATCACAGGCACAGGCAGTCCGGACCTGGAGACCACCTTTCCCGACCTGGAGACCACCTTGCCCGACCCTCCCGAGCACCAGGGAGACCACCTTTCCCAACCTTCCCGAGCACCAGGGAAATGAATGGAGAGCGGGCAGGACACCGGCTGCCTCCTCCGTACCTGGCACTCTGTGATCGCTGAGGGGTGACTGGAAGCCTTCCCTGCCGCGGGGACCTCCCCGGGCAGGCGCCCCAGCTGTGGGTGAGGAGGCCGGGGAGCCCTGCTCCCTCCGGACAGCTGCCTCAGCCCTGGCCTCGCATCCCTTGGACACAGTGGTGGGCGAGCCCAGGCCTCCACCTCCCTGCCTTGGCCTCCTCTGCTCCGGCACTCAGCCAGCCAGGGGGACTCAGCCTGCCCCCACCCCCCGCCCCAGCTCTTCCTGCTGGGCTAGTTCCACATTTGGGAATCTTAGGGATCTACCACCCTGGAGCTCGGGGACATGGGGGATGGGGGGTGGCCTCCGTCCAAAGGGCCAGGCAACTTCCCATCTCAACCTCTCTGAACCTCCGTCTCCTCTTCGGAACAGAGTGTACGGAGCCCCCGCGGAGGGTTAGAAAACGTGCCTGAAGCACCGGAGGCCTCATCCACAGTGCCCTGCTCTTAGGCCCGCGTTGTAAGTGGCGAGAAAAGGACTCCTGTCACTGTACACCTCCCAGCCCAGGGAGCACCCAGCCATGCAGAAGGCAGAAGGCAGAGAGCTGCAGGCACCGGGGCTCCAGCCCCAGAGCGTTATCTCCCCGCTGGAGGCAGCAGCTGCTCCCGGGGAGTCCCGCTCCGTCTTCCAAGCAGCCCTCAGACCCCAAAATAAACTCTCTGGAGCAGCCGCAACCCAGCTGGACACGAAAGACTAGGCATGCAACCGGGCACGCGGCCAGGGGCAGATGACAGTCCACAGGAGCCCGAGTGCCCCCTGCCCTCCGCCTCCCCCCCTTCTCCTCTGGAAGAGGAGTCCCGGGTGTGCCAGCCCCAAGGCGCCCCAAAACCCCTGCTCCCCTCCCCCCCCCCGCGTCCTCCCCACTCTGGTGGAACCCCAGCCGGACAGCCTGCAGAGCCGGAGTCTGCCGGAGCCTGTGCACGCATCCAGGAGGTGGTGACTCAGCGCCCATGAGGGCGGTCCCCGCACGGGCAGGACCCTGTCACCCACACAGACAGCCGGGGAAAGGGGGGGCCGCGGGGGGAGCCGGGCCGGGTGCGCCCCCAAAGCTGAGGTTTAGCCAGAGGGGCGCCCCCGGCCGGAGCGCCCGCCGGGGTGTCTGCACTCACAGCCTCCTGGGAACCCTGGGAAGGGGGGGTGGGGAGCGAAAATCAAGAATCAAAGTTCTGAGAACACACACCCCAAGCCCCGCGCTGGGGCGGCACACCCGCCACGGAGCGGTCCGTCCCCGGGGCGCGCGGCTCCGAGGACCCGGGGCGCCGCGGGGACCCGGGAGCCCCCGCCCCGCCGGAGCCGCTGGTCCCCGGGGAGCCCGCACCCTGTGCCCGCGGGGACCTCACCGGCCACAGACAAGCGCCGCCATCGCCCCTCCTTCCCTCCGTCCCTCCGGCCGGCCCCCCGCCACCCCCTGCGGTGACCACGGCGGCCCCCTCCGCCCTCCGCCCGGCGCCCCCGGCGCGCGAGCCCTTACCCCGCGCGGGGCAGCGCCCCGGGGCGGCCGGCGCGGCCAGCAGCGCGGCGAGCAGCGCGCAGCGGGCGGCCAGCATGCTTCCTCCTCCTCCTCCTCCTCCTCCGCTAGCCCCGCGCCATCTGCCTAAGAGGCCGCGGCGGCGGGCGGCGGGCGGGCCCGGGGCGGGGCTCGGGGCGGGGCGGGCTCAGGCCCCGCGGGCAGAACCGCGTCCCCCCAGGCGGCTCCGGACACTCCGGGCGTCCCGCGGCCCCGCGGCGCCGGCCGCTCCTCCGGCCGCTCGGCCGCGCCCCCGCCGGCACGTGACGCGGGGACAGAGAGGACCTCGCCCCGGGCGCCCGGCGGCGGTTGCGAAAGCCCAGCGGGCGGGCGGGTGGCGCAACCGGCCGCTTCCTGCCGGCGCCGCACCTGGGCGCGCGGGGCGGACCCCGGGCCGGGGGCGCGGGGCCGGGACGGGGACAGGGGGTAGGGCGACCTCCTTCCGGTTCTGAGGACTCGGCCACCTCCCGCCGGTTGTGGTTTTTGGTTTCTGGTTTCGGGGACGGGATGGCGCTGTGAAAGGCGCACCTGGGAGCCGGGGAGCAGGCGATGCGCCTCCCCACGTTCCTGCGAAGCCGTGGTCCTGCCCGGCTGGCTGCCCCCGGAACCCCCCGGAGGGAGAGCCCCCAAAACCACTAAAAACCTAAAAACTGAGTCTCGGCCCCGGAGGTTCGGATGGAGTGAGTTGGCGGGAGGGGCGGTCCTCCGAGCCTCCGGGCCCGCAGACTGCAGCGCCGCGGAGAGGGGGCGCCGGAGGCGGCAGGGACCGCGCTCCAGCACGGCCTCCGCCCGCTGGGGCTGCTCTTCAGTATCTTGGGGTTTACCTCAGCATCTGTCGGAAAGAAATTTTTTTTAATATATTTTATTGATTTTTTACAGAGAGGAAGGGAGAAGGATAGTTAGACACATCGATGAGAGAGAATCTTCCAACAGCTGCCTCCTGCACAGCCCTTACCAGGGATGTGTCTGCAACCAACGTACATGGCCCTTGACCGGAATCGAACCTGGGACCCTTGAGTCCGCAGGCCAACGCTCTATCCACTGAGCCAAACCGGTCCGGACCCGGAAAGATTTTTTTAATGTTTTGCGGGTCTATGCTCAGGAGATGGTCTGGGTCGTGGGGGCTCCATAGGTGTCAGAACCGGCTTACCCGCCCTCCCGGTGAGAACTAGGAGTCGGTAGTGGCTTTCAGGAGCAGCCCTGAAGACCTGGAAAGGGCCCTCAGAGGTTGCCCAGGGTCCTGAAACCGAGAGGGAGGCCTGAGAGCTCCCGGGAGGGAGAGAGAAGTGCTGAGATAAGGTCCAGTCTGAGAAGCTTCCGGACCAGCAACTGCTCATCGCAACGGACTCATCCACTCGGACTTCAGGCTGGCCCTGCCCAGGGCACCAGGGTTTCGGGGCAGCTGGACGGGCATGGCCTGGAGGGGCCCCCACGTGGACAAGACTTGGCAAGAAGGAACAGAGCTCCTGCCTGGCCGGCGTGGCTCAGGGGTTGAGCATTGACCAGTGAGCCAGGAGGGCACGGTTCAATTCCCAGTCAAGGCACATGGCCGGGTTTTGAGCTCCATCTCCAGTGTGGGGCGTGCAGGAGGCAGCCGATCCATGATTCTCTCTCATCATTGGTGTGTGTGTGTGTCTCTCTCTCTCCCTCTCCCTTCCCCTCTGAAATCAATAGAAATATTTTTTTTTTAAAGGAAGGGGCAGAGCTCCCGAAATGCGGCTCTCAGACCCGGGACATCTGGCCTGTCTATGGGAACCACCCTTCAGCAGTGCCAGGCAGAGCCAGCCACATGCCCTGACCCATCCGCGATGGCGTCTGATTGGGGAGGAACTGCTTCGGCCACACCCACAGCCTGGGGAAGAAGGGCGTGTTGGGGGCCGGCAGCTCTTCTGGGCTGGAAGGTGGTTCCCACTGTGGCTGCCCCGGCCCCCGTCTGTGGAAAATTCGGACCTGAAAACAATCCGAGGCACCACAAGCTCCGGCCGGAAACCGGAGGCGGCAGGGAGCCTGCTCAGGGAGGAGTGTGGAAGCCCAAGTCTTAGACCCCACGTGGCGGCCCCAGCAAACGGGGCCTCCCTGTCTCTAATCCAGGTGGGGTGACTGTACTGGAGCCAGACAGGTCAAGTTCCCTCCCAGCTCTGCCGCTGGCATGTGACTTGGGCATGTTATTTAAACTCTCTGAGCCTCTCCAGGCCCTGAGCAGCCAGGCCTGGAACAGCTCACTCCTCGCCTGCCCCTGCCCCATGGCTGCCTCTCAGACATGGCTGGAAACTTTCGTGGGAACTTGAGGGTCTGCTGAATCAAGTGATGAAGGCTTAGATCTGGATGTGTTGAGTTAGTATAGGGCTGGGGTGTTGATCTCTGAGTGCCTTGGGTGGGGCCTAGATGAGGCTGGTGGACCTATTGGGAAATGTCTTTTGTGTGAAGTGTATCATTGGGCATGTGGAGGTATTATTGATATGAGAAAATGCTAAGTAACTGATTTACTATCTGAAAAGGGATTTACTATCGGGGAAATTGAGGGAAGAAGAGACTGAACATAAACTGCACCTATGGATGAGGACAATGGGGGATGGGGAGGGGGCAGAGGGTGGGGTGGGAACCTGGTGGAGGGGGGAAGAAATGAGGAACCTTTGTAATAATATGAACAATAAAGATTGATTTAAAAAAAAAAAAACACAAAAAAAAAATAAAAAAAATAAATAAATAAACTCTCTGAGCCTCTATTGCCCCATTTTTAATATTTTTTTTTTAAAGAGAGGAAGGGAGAGGGGTAGAGAGTTAGAAACACCGATGATAGAAACATCGATAGCTGCCTCCTGCACACCCCCTCCTGGGGATGTGCCCACAACCAAGGTACACACCCTTTACATGAATAAAACCTGGGACCCTTCAGTCCCCAGTATGGCCCAATTTTTGAAAAATATTTTTTAATTGTTTTCAGAGAGGAAGGGAGAGGGAAAGATAGAAGCCTCGATGGTGCGAGAGAATCATTGCTCAGCTGCCTCCCGCATGCCCCACACAGGGTATCCGAGCCAACAACCAGAACACGTGCCCTGACCGGGAATCACACTGTGAGCTCCTGGTTCATAGGTCGATGCTCAACCACTGAGCCATGCCGGCCGGGCTCTATTGCTCAATGTTTTAATATGAGAGCAGCCATATGCAAATGACGGACGTTATGGTTCCCATGGGAAGATCTGGCCCATCTTTTCTCTCAGCCTCATAATATAATCATGTTCCCATTATCTATGGCTTCTCACCTCCATGCCTATGTTTCAAGCTATTCCCTCTGCCAGCAATCCCCTTGTTTGTCCTGCAGCCTCCTCTCAGGTAAGACTCAGGTTCCCGTCTCATCCCTACTTCCCTGGAGTCCCACCGCTCATCCACAAGGCCAGCTTAGGTGGCTGGGCCCTGTGCTCCCTCAAAACCCCCTCCCGGCGTGGTCCACCGCCCTGTCTTCCCTGCCACACCATCACGTCCATCTCTGCCCCCGCTGCTGAGCGGGGCCCGGCACAGAGCGAGGGCCTTCGTCCGGGAGACGTGACCTCCCCAGGGTAGTCCGAGCGAGGACCCTCTGACCTCCGTCAAAGGCCACTTGAACTCGACACTCAGTGGCGTTTCAAAACCCAGGAGGCCGCATTCCGGCGTTGGTGACGGAAGGCAGGCACCGACAAGGGAGAGGAGCCAACATACCTGGACGGTGTGCAGCCTGCCCTGCCTGCATCCTGGGGTCACTAGGTCCCTCGTCCGGCTTCTCGACTCAGGAAGGCGAGGGGATTCGGGCCTGTCTCGATTTGTCAAGAGCCCCAAGATGGGAGCAGGGAGAGCGAGTCTCCAGCACACAGGACTGAGAGCCAGCCAGGCAGGGCCGGGGTTCCGGCCCCGCGGGGGAAGGAGCAGGGAGGGCTTCCAGGGGCATCTCTGCCTGGAACCGCGCTGCTGACACAGCGCTTTCAGACACCGTCTCCTTTGAACGTCTTCCCCCTGAGGCTGGGAGACGCCGGCTCCCATTGTCAGATAAGTGCACGGGGGCTCAGAGAAGCAAAGCGACTGACTTGTCCGAGTTGCACAACTGGTCAGCGGCAGCTCTGAAGGGAGGCCTGGCTCCTGGCCCGGAGCCCACGCTGGGGGAGGGAGCAGTGAACACAGGACAAGGACAGCTGGCTGCCCCATTACAGGGGCCAGGAGGGGAGAGAGGAGAGGGGAGAGGAGCAGAACCTGCCATTGGGGTCGCCCCCTACTTGGGCCTCCCGAGCCCTCTCCCTTCAACCCGTGTGTGTTCCTGCAGTTGCCTTCGGTCACCCCTAGAGGGGGCAGCTCGGGACCCGCTCAGCTTCTATCAGATCCTTCCCAGAAAGCAAGTCCTCTCCCGCCTTTGACCAGAAGAGATAAAGCTTCTTAAAGTGTGCCAGTCAGAGGGTCACCTGGAAGCCCAGAATAAATTCATAGACTGCTGTGAATCCAAAAGGCACTCACTATCATCTGCCGTTCCTCCCTCCAGCCTCAAAAGGTGATTTGCTAAAGATGACACAGGCCGCTAATGACAGGAAGTCAAGATCCCAGATAGCCTGACTCAGGAGGGATTTCTTTTCAATTCCTGCCCTGCGCCCACTCTCAGGCCTGGGCCATGGGTGATTGTTTTAAAATCGCAACCAGGAGGTTTTAAAACAATGCCCTTTGTGGCGATGATAATGATGATAATCCTAAAAAGTGCACGGGGGGTGGGCTGCCCAGCAGATATCTCTCCCCTGGCCTCTGGCCCTGACTTATCAATAATTCCTGGAAGGTGATCTTTATTCCCTGAACCCTTCCCCTCCCCTTTCTCCACAGCCCAAGAGGCGGTGGACAGTCTGTGGACCAACTGAGGTATAGCAAGGGGGCCCCTCTGACGGGCAGAACTCAGTGGCCTAGGCCACTGACACCCCCACAGAATCAAGGCCCAGGCAGGGCCAGGGACTCCCTGCCCGGGGAGACTTCTCCACGGTCACAGGGGAGGATGCGGCAGCATCCCCAGCTCCGGCCAAACCGTGGTCAGGC